CCGCTCCTCCATCTCCCCAGCTTCGCCCCACCCCTCCAACAACTTCCTAGTTTTAGAGTCCGGGGTGTGCTGGGAAGTCTAGGTGGCTTCCCTCGCCCACCTGCGGGGGGGCCAGCCTCATGATGGGCCAGAGCCTGAGGAGCCAGAAGTCTGGGAATGGGGTGCTGGACCCCCAGTGTTGGTTCCGCCAGGACAAGCCTGCCCCTTCTCGCGGGCCTGCTCCTGGGGCCTCTTCTCGCATCCCAGCTCCTCCTCGCTCACCTTTGTTCAGGTATTCAGGACAGGGCTTGATGGGGGCTGTGCGGCATGTGAGGCCCTATTTTCTCTGTTGGGGTGTCCCAGCCCACAGCATGTTCCCCTTTCGTGGCCTTGTGTCCTGCGCCTGCTGCTATTTTGAACACTTCTCTCTTTCCTGAGGATGTTAAAAAGCAAAGGAAGCATTGGCATTATGCACTTGGGGCTCAGAGACAACTGGGTCACTGCCGTGAGCTGAGCTCCAGCCAGAAGCCGGGCCGCTGCGGGATCACTGACCGGGAGAAGGCCAGGCTGCCTACCGCCCAGTCTCTGGGGCAACTTACTCAACTCCCCTGAGTCTCTGACGCCCTCGCAGCAGACGGTGGGCAGGATCCCAGGGATATGCTCACTGTCAGTCTGAGAGCTATTCGTCAGCGGCCCTCCTGTGTCCCGGGCAGCCCTATGCTCTAGTATGTTCTAGTAGTCCTAGTGCTAGGCAGACCAGGCTACGAAGATCCCCGAGGTGGGAGGGCGACAACAGGCAATACACGCCAAAATACACTGCCCAGAAGAACTGTGTGCATCACCGGCTGCCCTTGGTCACTAACAGGACTGAGGTTCCTCTAGGGTGTGGCCAGCTGGCTGGGTTTGCCTGGGCTGCAGCGGTCCCTGGGCTATGGGGCTTTCACTAGTAAGGCTGAGCCTCCAGGCAAACCTGGACAAGCTGCTTTCTGCTCTGTGCTCCCTGCAGATGCCTACGGGAGTCAGGAGGGTGAGGCTTCTGCTGAGACTTCTCTTAATGCCCTCGTGACCTGGGCAGGTCACCTAACCCCTCAGGCTCCAGGTTCTCTGAGAAGTGGGGTAATCGTGGTCTTTACGGTGCACAGAGGGGACCGGCGCCCATCACGGGCTGGGTTCTAGCCCTGCTGTTCTCAGGGCCACTGTCTGCTCCCCCAGGCCTCTCCTATCCTTCCCTACCCCATTCCCTCAGAAGTGTCAAGAAAATTCCGAGTATCTCCCGTAAGCAGCGAGTGGGCCTGTCCTCACCAACTCAGCACAGTTCCTAGCTGGTTTATCTCCTCTGAGCCGCAGGACACCTGTGAGCTTGGTGGTTACTGTGTGTCAGAGAGGTCGTGTCATCTGCCGAAGGCCACGTGGAGACGTGGCAGGCATGGCCGGCGTGGGCCAAGGGCCCGCCCCTGCCCCTCGCTGCTGTGTGCTGGGGCTCTGGTCTCCTCACCCATCCGTTTGCCTTGCAGAGAAAATCTACATCATGAAGGCTGACACAGTGATTGTGGGGACCGTGAAGACCGAGGTGCCTGAGGGCCGGAGCCTGGTGGGGCCGGCGAGCCCTGTGGCGCCCGAGTTTGAGGATCTAGAAGTGGACCATGCGCCCCACTATCCGGAGCAGGAGACAGAGCCGCCACAGGGGAGCTCGAGGGATGTCATGTTCTCAGTGGAGGAGGAAGGGAAGGAGGACCCCTTGCCCACCACGGCCTCTGGGAAATGAGGCCTGGCCTGCGCTGGGGCTGAGAGGGTGGCTGGGCGCCCCCTGGGAGGCCAGGCCAGCACAGCTGGCGCCGAGCCGGGGCCGAGGCCCACCTGGCGTGGACTGAGTTTCCACCTTCCCGTGGAGGACCAGCCTGTGCGCGCAGAAGGCAGGTGGCGTCTGTGCGCACCCCAGCAGCTGTCCCTCAGCCCAGGCCTTCAGGGAGCCGGGTGTGTGCGGCAGACACCCGGGGACTGGGTCTGAATGGCCGTGTTCGTTGGAGCAGCGACCGCTGGCACTCTGCCTTCTCTACTGCCCGAAGGAGCCCCGGCGCCCTGCATCCCCGGACCCACGCCGAGGCCCCGAGGCCCCGAGGCCCGGCCCGCTGCGCCCTTGCCTCTCCTCAGAAGCGATACCCATTGGGCCTCGCGCCCCAGTTACTGTAAACGTGACCTCCGTGGGCACCGAGCCAGCACCTGTGGTTGATCCTGAGTCAAAAGGGAAGTTGAGGGACGGGTGTGGCGGGCTGCCGCCATCTTGGCTGCCCTGGCCTGTGAGCACCGGGCCTGCGGAGAGGGACCCTCCCGGGGCCGCTGTTCTGTGGCCTCGTGGCGGCCGAGGGCTTTGGATCAAGTCAGCTCGGAGTGTCCCCCAGCCCGTCCCTCCGCGGGAAGCTTGGAAGGCCCAGCGGCGCGGACAGCAGCGCCAGACAGCGGCCACCCGGGCTGGAGGGGCCTGCCCACCGCTGGTGCCTGCTCACCCGCTGTGCCGCCTCCTCACACGGAAACGGGGAGCCGCGCACCCTACGCGCCCTGTCTGCTCAGAGTCGCCTCCCGCGTGAACGCAGCGGGCTTGGTGAACATCCTGGTGCTCCCGGCTGGGACGCGGATGTCAGAATCGGCGCGGCTTGCCGGCCTCTTCGGGCAGAGGAGCGCACGAACTGGGATTCAGGTGTCTCCAGTTCGCCCTGAGCGCAAGCGGCCGGCCTGGGTCTGCTGGGCAGCTCTCCCAGGGGCCCCAGACTCACGTCAGCAAGTGGCCTTGGGGAGGGCCGTGAGGCAGAGGGCAGGACGCTCCCGCGGCGGCCGCAGCCCGCACCAGGAGTGGCGGGCGCCTGCAGGCCCCGGAATTACCCACGCGCGCCGGTTGGGAAAGATGCTGGTTACTCACCAGGAGCTAGCGCTCTGGAGGAAGTTGGGGCGGCCTCAGGAATCACAAGGGTGGTTTCTGAAACTGCTCAGATGATGTGGGGAAAGTTGGAGAGGCCAGGACTCGGGACTCAGTGAGGAGCAGGTGCACCAGAAGCTGGACAAGTCTCCGCGGATGGGCGGCAGTCACCAGAAGGCCGATGCAGGACATGTGGGCACCTTTGCCCCCCCCCCCCACCAGGCACCTGTGGCCACACCCCCTGAGCAGGGGCCTCCTTGACCCAAGGAGAGTGACCCGGAAGCACACCCTTCTCGTGCAAGAGTCTGTCACAGAACTTTGATCCTCTGAAAACCCTTAAGACGCCTTAAAAGTGAATTGCGGAGCTCAGGAAGCCACCCCGAGAGTACCTGCGAGCCCCTGAGGGCCGAGCGGCTGAGCATTCTCTCTCCCAGGCCTGGGATTGCCTCTTGGCCCCAGAGGCCCCGGTGGCCAGTCTGTGGGAACCGGGGTGGGATGGGGGCAGCCCTTCCTGAAGCTGGAGGGGCCCGGGAGGTAAATCCTTTCCCCTCGGCTCCCTTCCCTGGTGCCGGCGTCACTCGGAGAAAGCCGCTCTCATGGCAGGCTTCCTCGGGGTGTCCGCAGAAGGCCGCTTCCCTCCTCCCGCCCCTCCCTGAAAAGCTGTGGTCGGGGAGTGTCAGTAAGTCCTACAGAAGCAGCTGTATTCAAAGAAAAACCAGGTGGTGGGTGGTCAATGATTCTAGTTCCTTAGAATCCCGAAGGCCAGGGCCACTTCCTAAGGGGAACAAGAGGCACCCCCAAGAGTGAGGTGCGAGGGCCCAGGTCACGTCTCATCACAGGCCTTGTTGGGCTGAGCTGAAATGAAACTGCTGCTGAGCTGAGGGCCAGCTCTTGTGCAGTGTTTGGGGTGTCGTCTCACCCCCTCACCCCCGTCCTCCCAGTCCTTTAACGTGTACTCGTGTAGTCGTCGAGGAAGTTGGGGGGAAGGGTGGCGCCCGAGGGGGTGGGGAAGGACCAGAGGCAGGGCAGGGCCCAGAGGGCCAGCTCAGCCCTGGGGATGCCACTGAGGTGCCAACGCGGTGAGCTTCCGCAGCGGCTCCCGGGCCCTGAGGAGAGGCTACCCGGCTGCACCCTCCCGCCCCAGCCCTGCCCTGGGTGGCACCCTGTGCTGTGTAAGCACCAGCTTGGCTCCCTGGCCTGTGAATAGGCGTGTCCATCTCTGACAGGGCCGCGGGGGGCCCCTTAGATGTCACCTCTCAGCTGTGTCCGCCTTCCGCTGGCAGCTGCTTCTTTTAAAACCCTCGTGCGCGCGGTTCCAGCTGCCTCCCACCTGAAAGCAGGTGACCCTCGGCGGCCTTAGGAAACCCTTTGCCCAGGAAAACAATATAATCGGTGGTGGCCCACTCTGGCCCACACGGCCTCCGCCTAGGCAGCTTTGGGGCCAGGGAAAGGGAGCCCCCACAGTGGGCAGGCCCCTCCTTGCTCTGTGGGGTGTCCTGCAGAACCCCTCAGGTCCTGGGCAAAGGATTAGCCTTTTGCTCTTCAGCTTGGCGCTGGTCATCCCCAGGGTCTCACTGCAGGCACATCCCGCCCAGGATCCCTGCGGTGCCTCTCAGGGCCCTCCCTTCTCGTGCCCCCAAGCCCTGTGACGAGCAGGCCCCGTGATGGCTGCAGCCCTTGCCAGTCCTCAGACGCCCTCTGTCTGGTCTGTGCTGTGTCCAGCAGACGAGAGGGGCAGCCTGACCAGGGACCGCCTGGCTGTGTCTGCAGGAGGGCGCTTTCTGGCCAGGTGGTCCAGGAAGGCTTCTGTGAGGAGGTGAACGGACGAAGTGGGGGACCTGAGGCGAGAGCATCCTGGGATGGCAGGGGAACCCCAAAATCAAAGGTCCAGAGGTGGGAAAGCGCCTGGCCTTGAATTTGAGCAGCTCACCCCAGGGTGGGCACCTGGTGGCAGATCAGAGAGGAGAGATGGTGAGGGCCAGGTCATGGAGGCGGCACCGCCGTGAGGACTTTGATTTTACCTCAGAGCGGCAGTGAGTGCATCTTTCTCCTCTGCTAGCAGAGCAGTAAACATCCTGGTATTATCCCAGCGATGTGTGAGGGAAGCCAAGCCAGGGAGGGCGCTAGCCAGTCAGGAAGCTCAGCCGGCTTCTCAGAAAGGCGCCAGGCCTTCCCGGCGGGCAGCTCAGCTCCGGCCGCTGACGCCAGCACGGTGGGCTGGGAGTGGGGCCGTCCGGGTTCCCCTTTCTTGGGGTGTCTCCCAAGACAGTAAAAACCCAACCAAAAGTCCTGGGGAGGCTGGGGCCTCTGTGTTTGCGCGGGGCGTGGGTTTCCCTAGATCAGGACCACTTGGGCCCGGGCCTCTGCCTCTGGCCTTGGGCCAGCTCGTGACCGCTCCTCTCTGGCTCGCTGTTGGGAAAGGAACTGGGCCGGCGCCTCGCTGCTGCCACGGGGCTCCCGCCTCCTGCTCTGCGGTTGCCGGCCACATGGTCTCCTGCGCCATCCTGAAGAGCTTTCAAGGTTTCCTGACTTGCGAAACGGCATATTTGCCTTGCGAGGTGCTGGCCAGGCTGGGGGTACTGTGGGGGTGTAGCCCCGCTTGGTCTGGTGCCAGGCAGGTTCCCTGGCGGGTGAGTGATGGGCCCACGAAACAGCGTTTTAAGGGCTTTTAGGGTTTGCCCCCAACTTCTACATATGGGCTTCGTCAGGATCGCTGGGAGGGGGCTAGGCTCCCCATGGGCATCACACAGCCGAGAAGGGCCAGAGCTGCGTTCAAGACGCGCCCACCCCCACCCCCCACCTCTGCAGGCTGCCATGGCTCTGGCTGTGTTTATGCTACAATTATCTTCTGGCTCTGTGCTCCTCAAAAGTTTCCTTTTGCTTCCAAGCCACGTAGCTAGACGGAGGAAGCTAGATGGAGGAAGCAGGTCAGTTTCACCCCTTCTTTCATAGGGGGGCACAGACAGTTGCAAGGAGTGGGGTAACCTCTCCAGGCTCCAGTGCCTGGCTGGGTGTGGTTTCCTGACCTGGCCCAGAGCCAGCCCCGCCAGCACCTCAGACCTGGAAGCAGCCTCCGGGACAGGGGCTGACGCTGAGGCGGGCAGACAGGGGCCGGGAGACAGGCCGCAGAGAGGCTGGGGAGCTGCCTGGCAGCTGAGTCACCGTCTTCATTCTCAGCAACTCCTTGCAGCCCTCTCTGCTCCTCCCAGCCAAGGCAGCTCAAGAACAAGCCTTCCCTTGAGATATCTGGGGAAACTGGGCCTCACAGCGGTAAAATGGTTTCCCGAAGGGCCCAGTAAATTGAGAGCAGCCGTGACTGGCCGTTTCGCAGGAGCCAAGTGGCCCGCGTGATGGCATAGGAAGATGGAGGGCCAGGCCCTCACCCTTGGCTGAATGCGCTGGCATCACTATCTTGAAAACTAGTAATACTTGGAACAAGGGTCCAACATTTTCAGTTGTCATTAGGTCCCAAGAATTATGGTTGGGTCCTGCTTCGGGGCAGGGAACTTGTAAAGAATCTACTCGAGCCCAAAGCACTTCCTGTACTTTACCACTTCACCTCGGAGGCAACATCATCACAGATGAGCTCGTTTAATCTCATTTTTCAAAAGTGATACATGGCTGATGACCCACCAGGACTGTTCAGCTGGGTCCATGAGCCACTTCAAAACTCAGCGTCTTCATACTGGTCAGATGTGATGCAGCCCATTGCCCCATGATGGAGAGATGGCTAGCGAAGGTGTGCTTCAGAGACCCTGGGAGTACCACTCAGTCGTAAAAAAGCAATCGCTTGCTGTGGCCACCACCCGGATGGACTCGGAGGACGTGTGCTAAGCTATAAATAAGTGTAAAAG